GCTGACATGTGATTTTCAAGTACCAATACTCGTTCACTTGTGAATTAAACATTAATATAAGTTCCCAGTGAGTATATACTACCTTCAGCCCAAGTAAAAGAACAGAGATTAGGCTACAGGGTGAGATCAATGAATGAGCTGTGACCTGAACAAACCCGTATGAACTCTAATACTTTCCCCCAAGGGCCAGATTCAAATCCAGGCATGTGAGGGAGGGCTGAACCACATGATCATTGATCTAATAAATGCTCATATGCAAAAAAAGAATTCAGATTCACAGTCTGTGGCTGTGGTATAAATGCATTAAACATGCTGCTGTTTTAACACACTCACCTGCTCAGAGTCCACTTTGTGCATTAAAACTGTATAAAGCCTGGAGTCCACTGCACAATTTTCCAACTTATGAGATTGCTGGGTATCACACTACATGACATGAAGATTCTGAATGGTACAACAGCTCACAGGCATATAAAATCTTTATCTTACCTTTACCTACTCCTTACCCTTACTGGTCCTTCAGATATGACTTCATGTTTCTCATTTGTGTGTCTGTCCTTTGAAAATACCAGATACTGTGCATTATTTAATGTTTTGTCCTTCAAATTACATGAACTTCAACTTATAAATCAAATGTCACCAAATTTTTGGCTATTCTACCCACTTCTGCCTTACCTTACCTTGGTAAATGGTTACATTTTTATACAGTGCTTTTCTACCTTCAAGGCACTCAAAGCACTTCACATCAAGGAACCACTCACCCATTCACATACCAGTGTACGGAGACACTAGGGCGAGATGGGTTAAGCGTTTTGCCCAAGGACACAATGACAGCATTCATCTGTGGGAGCTGGAATTGCAATAGATCTGCCACTGAGCTACTGTTGGCCCTACCTTTACCTGTGTTTTTAATTGCAGGATGGGGTGGACTGCTCTGCTCCTGCTCCTCTGGGCCCTGCCTCTCTGTGACAGTGGTAAAATCCTGGTCTACCCCATAGACGGGAGCCACTGGCTGAACATGCGCATCATAGTGGAAGCTCTACATGCTCGGGGTCATGAGATCACAGTACTGCGTTCCTCAACCAGCTGGTATGTGTCCGAGACGTCCCCCCACTACTCCTCCATCACCATCCCACAGCCAAAGCCTCAGAACCTGGAGAGCGAAGACTTCATGAGTGGCTTCCTCCAGAGGTCCATCGAGATCAGGAAGAACCGCGGCTCACTCTGGGGCCTGATCGACTTCTACAAAAACCTGTTTCAGATGATTGGAGAAAACCAGGTGGTGGTGACTGAATTTGTGGTGACTATCTTTGAGAATAAAACTCTGATAAAGGAGTTGACAGACACGGGGTATGATGTGTTCCTCACTGATCCTGCGTTTCCAGGTGGAGTGCTCTTGGCTCATTACCTGAAGCTGCCCACTGTCTTTAATGTGCGCTGGACCTTTAATGGAGACGCACACTTCATGATCGCCCCCTCCCCTCTGTCCTTCGTGCCTCAGCTCTTCTCGCAGTACACAGACAAAATGGACTTCTTCCAGCGACTGTCCAACTTGTTTTACCATGGTATCTTGGTGTACATGTTACACTATGTGTCTAACCCGCCATACCAAGCTGTGTGTGATCGATACTTTGGACCAGGGGTGGATGTGGTGTCCATGATGCAGGGAGGAGACATCTGGCTCATGAGGACAGAGTTCACCTTTGATTTCCCCAGGCCCACCATGCCAAATATGGTGTACATGGGGGGCTTCCATGTGAGGCCCTCTAAACCTCTGCCCGATGATCTGGAGGAGTTCGTGCAGAGCTCTGGAGAACATGGGGTGATCATCATGACTATGGGCACGCTGCTCGGAGACTTGGGCCCTGAAAGGTCAGAGGTCATCGCTGCAGCGTTTGCCGCTCTGCCACAGAAGGTCATCTGGAGACACGTGGGACAGCGGCCCATTGCTCTCGGCAACAACACCAGACTGGTGCAGTGGATGCCTCAGAACGATCTCCTCGGACACCCCAAAACCCGACTGTTTGTGACACACGGAGGGACCAATGGCCTATACGAAGCCATGTACCACGCCGTGCCCGTACTGGGCATCCCACTTATCTTTGACCAGTTTGACAACATGGAGCGGATGAAAGCTCACAGAGCAGGGGAGTTTGTAGAAATCACAACATTAGACACAGACACTCTAGTGAAAACTATACAGAGATTATTAGACCCAAAGGAGCCATATAAAACCAAAATGCTGAAACTATCACGGCTGCTTCAGGACAAACCCATCAAACCCTTGGAAAGTGCAGTCTTCTGGACAGAGTACGTCATGAGACACAAGGGGGCAACACACATGCGTACAGAGTCGTACAAACTGCCCTGGTACGCATACCACTCTTTGGACGTCATAGCAACAATCTTAGCAGCAGTCCTCTTAACTCTCTACATAATCTATATGTTTTGTAGACTTCTTATTCAGTCTCTGCTGAGAGTTAAAAAGTCCAAGACTGAATAGGCATAAAATAGAATTGTACAACATTTAATCTTCATGGAAACTGTATTAAAATCTCAAAGTTCACCAAAAAGTCGAAGTGATGTTGAAATATGAGTAAATAAACTGTGAATGAAATTATAATATTTTGTACAAGCCTATGCAACATGCTAATTTATAAACTGTCTTAACATTTCATCAGTGAGTCTGATATGAGCACCACAATGGCATCTAAGAGAAATACTGTTTAGTAGTAGAGCATTCATCCGTCCACTGGGAGTCACTGTTGAGCAGAGCAGAAGTCTTTGTCTTTGTATATCCAGAGATTTGTGGAGACATATAGAGACTTCTTTATTTAGCCTGAGTTCTTAGCCCAGGAAAAGTAAAGGAAAAAAGGGACTGAAAAACATTGCAGGTGAGGTAAAAAATACAGAGATATCAGTTTGCATTTGACAGGCAAACAGACCCAAAACCGTGAGGTGGAGTTGTTCTTTCAAAACCAACAAAAGATATAGGAAATACTTAAAAATTACCTGAAATCGATTTTCATGACCTTTAAATGATGCTGTTATCTCCTTAGAAACATACCTGAAGTTGAGTTGTGATTCATGCATCTCTGAGTAGGTCTGTCTACATTTCCAAAGCTCAAAATACCCAGTTCCACCTTGTGTCTTGAAGTGGTAGTTTTGAAGTTAACAGCTACCCTTGACCTCTTGTTCAGTAGAGATGGGCAAGTCCAGTGTTGAAATCCTGATTCTAGTGAAGATGTATGTTAACTTCCTTTATTACCACATGGCATCATAAGAGTGTTTTCTGTTTAAGAGAGGAACTGTGAATGTAACGTGTGAATGAAACAAAACAGTGTGTGATGAGGATACGACATCAGAAAATTGTGCAATATGGGCCCTTTAAATAAAAGAATACATGTCCAATCAATGTATTTGAAAAATTACTGAATGAATGAAGGCTGCTCTTGTATCGCTAACTATAACTGTAGAGTGTGTGGGTCGTTGTGATTTTCATTTCTTGATTAAAACGTTTTTGTTTTTTTTCTGTCTTTACTGTGAACAGGAACCAACTGAACAACATATTTTTCCGACCAGATGAATGTCAGTCTTTTTCTGTTTTCAAATAAAATTCAATGAAATCGATGAAACTACTAAGAGCCATTTACAAGACATATACAACACATGAATGAAGCACTTTATTAGTAGTAGGCTCAAATTTAGAATAGAACAAATGGAGATGATATTGCTTTGCTTAGCGTGTTACGGATTAGTAACGCAGATTAGTTAGGTAGATTTTTAAATACAAACTTATTTTTCTTGCTTTGAAAAATACCTAGAGTTGTGTGTTTTTATACCTCTTCAGTGAAATTTGGATGATTTCAGCCCTGGATTTGCTGATCTCTACTGAACTAAAAGTAAAGGGTTATTAACTTGACTGTTTCAGGTGGAACAGAGCGTTTTGAACTTTGGAGATGTAGACAGCCTAATAATAAAGGATTACTCAAACATGTGTGAATGAAATAAAACACAACTCCAGGTACGTTTTTGATGAGATGACAACATTCTTGCGTATTTTTTTTTATTTAAAATGTCTCAAAAAATAGTTTCTATTCTTTCAAATGTCAAGATTTCCAAACTGTTACACCTGCTCCATGGTGTGTTCCGGTGTAGCGTGTTCCGTGTTCTGGTGTAGTGTGTTCTGGTGTAGTGTGTTCTGGTGTAGTGTGTTCTGGTGTAGTGTGTTCTGGTGTATTGTGTTCTGGTGTAACATGTTCTGGTGTAACATGTTCTGGTGTAGTGTGTTCTGGTGTAGTGTGTTCTGGTGTAGTGTGTTCTGGTGTAACATGTTCTGGTGTATTGTGTTCTGGTGTAACATGTTCTGGTGTAGTGTGTTCTGGTGTAGCGTGTTCTGGTGTATTGTGTTCTGGTGTAACATGTTCTGGTGTAGTGTGTTCTGGTGTAACATGTTCTGGTGTAGTGTGTTCTGGTGTAACATGTTCTGGTGTATTGTGTTCTGGTGTAACATGTTCTGGTGTATTGTGTTCTGGTGTAACATGTTCTGGTGTAGTGTGCTCAGGTGTAGCATGAGTCGATAGCACGAGCGTGGATGGAGCTTGTGCCAGTGAAGCGTGAGTGGATGGAGCGGGTGTGGGTGGAGCTTGTGCCAGTGAAGCGTGTCCAATGATGGAGGACATTTTGTAGCTGTCAAGGACGCGCCGAGTCCTGCCCATGAGCACCCGGAGCCCAGAGGAGAGCTCGTCACTCACATGGAGGTACACCAGAGGGTTCAGGGCGGGGTTCAGACACACCAGGCCGCGGCCCACCTGATGAGCCACGTAGACAGGGTCGAACCAGCTGTAGCACTGCCTCCTCTTGAGCAGCACTCTGGAGCACAGGTTGAGGTTCCTGAGGACGTGATAGGGGATGTAACACACTGAGAAGAGAAGGATCAGAACCAACAGCAGCCGCAGACTCTTCCTCTTCAGTAGACGGTCTGTGACAGAGGGAGGGAATCAGGTACAGTTTACTCCTGAGGTACATTTACTTCAACACAAAACATGCACATCAGGTAAAATCCTTCAGCAATGTAATCCTGCCCAAGACTAGCTCAAGATCTGGAAAAGGACAACCTTGCACAGGAAGATAGATTCTCATGATATGAGTTCACAAACTCACTCAAGAATCCAACCTGGCATGCACCCGATGTATTGGCAGGTGGACACATCACGTCATAGCATTGAGGTTTGTGCAGAAGCCAAAGGTGAAGCACCCAAATGAACCAAAACAAAAATGTGATGCAATGCAGACAGACATACAGCCAATTTTTGTGTCAATACAGACTATTTTGTGTGTGAAAAACATGCAGAAGGCAAGAGCTTTGTGCATTTGTGGACAGGAAATAGATAATGTGTAGAACTCAGTTCAGAGAGACACGTATCAGTCTGGTGTGAGCCAGGTTAATAGACGGATCCAAGCAAAGGGCAAATTACCAGTACAGGGACAATAGACAATAAGGTAAGTGAGGAATAACTTTGGACCAATGCGAATGGTTTAAAATTAACTAATTTTGTTTTTCACATTCTAAGACAGTAAAAATCATATACTGTCAATATTTTTCAGTACTCACCTGTATCTGTGAAGCTGGAGCCACACAGCTTCACCATCACATGAGTATAACATCCCACTGTGACTAGGAATGGCAAGCAGAACCCAGTTACTGTCCAACCCACACTGTATTTCAGATATTCCTCTACATAGGCTTTGGAGGTGGTGTCGTAGCACTTTCCTACACCTTTTCGGTAAGTTTTGATAAAGAACATGTCCGGAAGGCACTGAACGCTCACCAAAATCCAAACAAGCACTGAAACTACCACTGAATGAGACGCAGTCAGCCTCCCCATTACCCGAAACGGATGGACTATGGCCAGGTATCGAGACACGCTAATGCAGGTGAGAAAGCCAATACTCCCGTACAAGTTTATGTTGAAACAAAACCGAGTAATTTTGCAAAAAGTATCTCCGAAAATCCATTTACTCTTCTTCAAGTGGTAGACCACCAAGAAAGGCAAAGTTAGAAGGTAGAGAATATCCGCCAGTCCAAGATTTAAAACAAATACATTGATGATTTTGAGTTTCGTCCAGTTTTGTAGTAAGGTTTTGAGTCCGATCACGTTTGCAGTAAGGCCGATGATAAATACCAGAATGTAGACAGGTGGAAGGAATCTACCAGCAAAGTTCAAAGCTAACATGGGGACAGGAGGTTTTGTTCATGATGTGTCCTGGTTTGAAATCTCTTTAAATGTGACACTTTGAGTTTAGGAAATGCATTTTAGCTGACAACATTATTACTAGAACCACTTCCTCTTCTAGCCAAATATGGTTTTAAAGATGTGGCCTCAAGACACTAAATACTGATAAACGAACTATGTTACAGTTGGAGTATCTCCCATGTTTTATCTTGCATTCCTCTGTTGAAACTCAGTGACCAAGCATTGTCTAAGAAAAACAAAAAACAAAAACACAATTTTCTCACAGGGGAAGAGTAGCCAAAAATGTATTGTATACTCACTCATTCAAGCAAGTTTAATGTATGCTTCACCAGAAAAGTTACATAGTGCCCTTTAAGTAAAATTGTGGGGTTGTACTAAAGAAATTCTTGGTGGACTAAAAACATGTGCTGCTGATGGATTAGTAAAATAAAAAGGGGGCTTGGCTAAAGCTCTCAAAACGATTACGTATCTCTGTGTATTTGACCCAAACTGCACTCACAAGACTGATTAATTGACGAAGCGATTAATCGATTAAAGGCCCACAGCCCGACAATCCTACAAATGACTAAGTTAAAGAATGGTGGTTTTGTGATCAATGTTGATCTTACTGGAAAAAGTGAAAATAAAATACTGCAGAAATGATGTTAGGCTATTTCCCAAAATTCAGATTTGAAAGTGAAAATGTCTCAACATGGTGTCCCGGAAAAATGAGCTCATATATCATGAATAGAAAATGGCAAACACAGCAAAATATTTTATAATTAACTTTTATATGTCATTGCAATGCAAATTATTATTATTTTTTTGATAGTGACAGTGTCATTTTTGAAACCACATTAAAAAGTGTGCAGATTAAAAGCCCAGTAACTTTTTTTTTGCAGCAAATTTTTAGCAAATTTGGTGTTTGACTGCTCTTGAGGCCGACTGGCTGGCACACTGAGCGGTTTGCAAAATAAAAAATATATATATCTTAAATGTTTTAACTTAAATTTTTTGGAACCAGCTTGTGCAGTTCAGTAGATGGAGGTTAAGGACTTTTGGATTGTGTGATTTTTCCTGTATCTATGGCGACCCTGCAAGGAGTTAGCTATGCTAGCCAGCTTTTTACACTAGAGCAACAGACCTTTACTCCAAATATGGCAGATGACGTTCAAGAGGTAGGGGCCTATCTCATCCCCATACTTTTGTCTTGAGAGCTGTTAGTCTCATCACACTACCCTGACACTGGATCTGATGACTCTACCTG